CTTTGAGAAATTTCAGAATATTGCGATCTGTTTAAACCCTTCACTTTTAACTTCAACTCTCTCAACCTCTGATACAATTGGAAATAAGGAACTCCCTCAACATCAATTTGCCAAGCATCCTCTAACATACTTTGATACTGAGGATGCTGCCTCCAGAATGTAAAGAACTTGAAAGGCTTCAGTAATGAGTCAATGGATCAGTGTGCACTAACAAGCCACAGTGATAAGAGACTCGAGGGGACAAGGTTTTAACAAAAACTATCCTTAAAATTATCCAGCCACTGATAATTTACCAAAGCACGATCAATCCTTCGAGCAATTGGATTGTTCGACTGCTTATTCCTTCAGGTAAACTAATTTCCAACTGTTTTATGATAGGTTAATCTCATTTCAGAGATCCATTGCCTAAAATCACTCATACTTTGATTCCAGACAGGTCTATTAGAAGCTTCTGAATCATCAATGATTGCATTAAAGTCACCAATAAAAATCCCAGGCTAAGTAAGTACTAGACACTTCTTTAACTCTTCATACATAGCAACTCTTTCAACTGTCTTGTTTGGCCCATAAATGACAATGACCACACAAGATTTTGTACTCGACTGCACTCTCACTTGAATAAAATGCTGGCCCATACCAATCTCAGCTACTTGTAATGTTGGCTTCCAAAATAACCAGACTCTCCCATTATAGGAATACTTATAATTATTTAAATGCCCCAACTCCCAAACTGTCTACTGACTATCTCATTAGCATTATTCTTCAACACTCTACTTTCTAATATTGCAAAGAAATCAACACCTAACTTTATAACTTGTTTATTCACGTACCTATGTTTCTTAGAGGAATTAAAACCTCTGAGATTACAAGAGAGCAACTTCATTACCTTTTCTTCTTGCCCCCCTTTTTCTTTGGAGAGGCAGGAACAATGAGATTATACCCCTTCGAATTCAGTGACACTCGAGCTTGAACAGCTGATTCTGGGATCCTCACTCCAATACCTTGCTCTGAGCGATTCTCATGTACCGTAGCTTTACCTTTCTTGACAACAAGCTAAAAGCCATCTGCATCCACAAGAGGTGAGGACGTAGAAACAACATTCCTTCCAACTACAACTGCTTGCGGAGTGACAGTAGGACTTGCCACAGTACCCTACGGAATTGCTGGTGAATTAGATCCCCCAACCAGCATACCCTCACAAACAATACCCCCAGAAGTAGGAGGGGATAAATCAGACATCGCACCTTATGATATAATTAGAGCAGTCTCCTCACAAACAACCACAAATTTGTCACACTCCAAACCCTCACCAATTTGATGCTCGAATTCAACACACTTCTCACACCTGTTTGGAGCATGGAGATAGTGAACAAATAAAGTAATACCCTCCTCCCCTTCCGGACAAATCCAAAGATCTGTTGGAAAAGAAGAGCCAACTGCCATCTCAATACAGAGCTTAGCAGTACCCATTTGCGTACCCCGCTTAGTCGACTGATCCATCCACAAAGACATACCTAACAGGCTAGCCACCCTGCTCAAAACCTCCACTATCATATATTCTAATGGAAGTTCCCGAATGTGAACCCAAATCGACAGCCTAGAATGATCCATCTTAAGCGATTGAATACCTGGAACCCATTTCCGCAGGAAGAGAGAGACATTCTCACAGTGCCATGGCCCGTTTTCAAATACCCAAGTACTCGTTTCCACACTCTCAAATTGAAACCAAAACATATTCATACCAAAGATGGAGACAAAAACCCTACCATCTCTTCTCCAAAAACGTTGTTCCCAGCGACGACTCGTTGCAATCGGCGGAGCTTCAGATAGAAACTATCCAACCAAGGTGTTCCGCCACCGAATCGCTCCCTCCTCAAGACTGCCCGAGGGATGACCAACTCTCCATCAACCAAAGTAGGTGCAACATAAAGGAGGCGATTGCCTTCCCCCACTCCAAATAGTTGAGCCTAATTCGCTGGCTCCGGCGTGGCCATGCCGCCGAACGAGATCCACCAGCTAGGTCAGAAGGAGAGAGAAAGAAGAGAGAGGTCAGGGCAATCTTTTTTTAAAATTCATTGTTTGCTTCAAGTATTTAGAGAAAATAAATCCGTGGAACCCATGGATTTTGAGGGGCCAAATCCGTGGGACCCACAAACTTGAGAATCCCACCTCTTTAGGTGGGAATTGATCATGGACTTTGAAGTCCATCATTTTTACCAACCAACCCCTCATATTTTCTTTCTCTTCATATATCATTGAGGGAAATTATTAGTGGTTGTTTGCTTGATGGATTTGGATCCATGATGGACTTTGTCCAAAATCCATTGTTTGCTTCGTGATATGATCCTAATTCGAGAATCCTCTCAAATCGGACCAAAAACCAGAGTTGCACACGTCGAACTTTTTAGGGGTTTTCTCCTTTCTTGAATAACACAAAATAAAGATACTTGCGGAATCGATCAAACAAATCCGAACTCGTGAGAAGGGCCAGAAGGTATATGAAACCTTCCAAACAATCTCGAACCCGTGGAAGAGGCCAACCGATATCGTCGATGCTCGCCACAACTAGACGCGTTCTCTAGTTGATAAGAGACCACTCAAACCTCCCGAATCCTCAAAGGAGAGAATAAGCAAAACTTTCACTTGAACTTGTAAACACTTGTATTTGATTGCTGAAACTTGAATGTTGGGTACCAAATTCGTAGGTCTTACACCCTCTATTTATAGAGGTCACAAAGACATAAAACTAACCTAAAAGGAATAGGAAAACAAATCCCAAACTAACTAGGAAACATAATACTACTTAAATAAGGACTATAACTCGTTTTTATGACCAAAGGAAGCTCCTTAGCAGCTAAGTAATCTCTTTCCTTGTCCTTTTCACATTTGGATGACTTGGGCAGCAAGGATGGACGTTTTGGGCTCCAAGAAATGTTGTAGGCCGGATCCTTAATGCATTCTCCATTTTATCCATCAAGAATGCTCCCAGTTGATCCTTAAATCGTTGAATTGGAACCTTCATTTTGGGACCACGAGAATTGAATATCGCGCTAGTCGATATCGCATCACTTCGAGTATTTAGAGGTAACAAATCTGTGGGACCCATGAACTTTGAGGGTCCAAATCCGTTTGCTTCGTGGATTTGAAAAATTAAAGTTTTGGTATAACTTGGGTTTTGATAAATCATGGATATATGAGGGTTTTGGGTTCATTATGGTTTTGAAAAATACCATTGTTTGTTTCATGGATTTCATTATCGAGTTTATTAATTAATTTTGTATGTATGAAGTGAACTTTACCATTATTGCCCTTAATAATATAAGAAGAGAAAGAAAATATAAGGGTAGGTTGGTAAAAATTGATGGACTTCAAAGTCCATGATTAATTCCCACCTAAAGAGGTGGGATTTTTAACTCCGTGGGGCCCACGAATTTGGACCCTCAAAGTCCATGGGTCCCATGGATTTGCTAGCTCTAAATACTTGAAGCAAACAATGGATTTTGGACAAAGTCCATCATGAACCCAAATCCATAATCAAATCCATCAAGCAAACAAGTCCCTGTGGGAATTGATCATGGACTTTGAAGTCCATTTTTTTACCAATATACCCGTCATTTTCTTCTTCTTATATCATTGAGGGCAATAAAGATAAATTACACTTGATGCATACAAATTTAATTAACAAAATCCATCATGAAATCCACCAAACAAACAATGGTCTTTATCAAATCCATAATGAACTAAAAAACCTCATATATCCATGGTTTTTCAAAACCCAAGTTATACCAAAACCTTCATTTTTCAAATCGACGAAGCAAACGAGGTAAAATTCACTTCATATATACAAATTTAATTAACAAAATCCATAATGAAATCCATGAAACAAACAATGGTCTTTTTCAGATAACTAAAATAATTATGATTGTTGTCATTAGACAACGAAAATTATTATTGTTATTAGATAACGAAAAAATTACAGAATTTCAAATTTTATTTATTTTGGGTTCGTTGATGTGGCAAGTGACATGGCGCTTGACTAACGGTCAATGGAGTTGACCTTCCAATTTGACGGTCAAAACTCGCTCCGGGTCAAACAAAGAAGTATGGTGCATAGTTCGGGTCAGGAGAGCAATTTAAAAAACCACAGGCCAAAGTATAAAGTTTGAGTATAGTTTATGCCAAAATAAAGTATTAACTCTTTATTAAAACTCAAATTATACCAAAACTTTCATTTTTCAAATTCACGACGTGAACGACCCCTAAATTCATGGGGAAAATCCTCAATAAGTGACCCTAACAATCTCCTTAACACCCCTCTGGTTTACCATGACAATCACAAAAGTAAGTCTTCAAACTTCAGAGGAACAATCGACCACTCAGACCAAATACCAATCTTGAATCTTATCTGGGTGTTTTCTTAATTGACCCATCACTTATTTATACAAGATGAATAGAAATTCTTCTCCTTGTTGAGTAAAATTGTAAAATCCCTTCGTCACAAGGAAGAAAAAGATGTTTATAAGAAAAGGAAGTGGCAATTATTTTATGGACTTTTTTCCCGTACAAATTCTACAATCTACACGCAAGGTTGTCAAACCGGTTTATGCCAGTGTGCCGGTTTAGCTAGTGGAATGGTTCAACCGGTGGCACATACCGGTTTGTGCCGGTTCGTGCCGGTCAATATTATAAATAAAATTATAAATACTCATATTTAAACATGACATTTAACGTCAATAATTAAACATTTATACCTGAATCCAACAAATAACATCAATATTTAACTTTTATACTCATAAAATAAATAATAAAATAACTTTTATCAATTAAATTCACTAAAATAAAATCATTTTACTTAGAGATTCGTATATCGATCATGCCGGTCATACCGGTGGTGTTATGCCGATTTTATGACCGGTACCGGTTGAACCAGCTACAACCGGTGGTACGCCGGCCGGCGTGACAACCATTATCTACAGCAACACCAGCAGCGGATACTATTGATTTTTGCGACTTTTTCTTCTCCCCGCAAATATTTTATTCTGCCTGGCCTCTGCCCGTCCCTTTCCCTCTCTCTATCCTCGCCCCATCCCTTTCCTCCTGTAGTAAAAATCGGGTCTTCCTTTCTACATTTTTTCACTTCTTTCCCAGTATGGGCCTTCCTCCTCCTTCCATTTCTCTATGAGCTAATACACACAGAGAGGAAGGCGCACCCGCAGCTACTTTGGCGACCAGAGCGGCCAACAGTGTCGCTGATGAGAGAAGAATTTGGGTACTAGGGTATGAACTTCCTCAACGTCGTGTACTTGGAGTTCCCCTTCCAAGCTCCACCATTTTTGATCGGTGAGTTTGGTTTTTATGAACAAAAAATGAAGGAAAGAAGTCTTCTTCGTACAATTGTAAATCAAAGTTCTCGCCTTTGGTCAATGTGTTGATTTGGGTTGGGGTTTTTCCTTCGCGGGTTCTTGTTGTTCTGTCAATTTTTTTTAGCTTGCCTGGAGTGATTGATACTCAGCGTTGGGGGTATTTTGACCATGTTTAGTCGGACCTGGAGTTATTTACACATTTCGAATTCTCCCCTTTACGCCCTTTTGGCTTTGTTTCCCCCCTCATTTCAGAAGGACGATTCTGTTTGTTTCGTATTTCCGCTTCTTGGTTTCCTTAGCTCAGTTCAGATACTGTGTTTTCAGCCTCTAGTTCAATTTTTTAGCCTGGATAGGATCGACACGTTAATAATTTCGTTTTTATTCTTCTACTACGTTGTATACATGAAGGGATCTTGTTGGCAAATTTAGTCAAGCTTGTAGTGCTTAGAGTTTGCCGGGGAAATATAGTCTTGGTCTTCTTCATTTTCTGCGAAGTTGGGTTTACAGTGACTCACTTAAGGGTGTTTAGCATTGAGCATCCGGAAGATTTGGCTCCTCCAACCTAACGAGCTGGTTGCCTTTCTTATCGTCTTTTCTTTTCATTGTTTTTGTTTTGACTTGTGATTCTAGTCGTGCATACGGGAAGTCTTTTGTGATATGGAGTCTTCAGAGTGCTTTAGGCGGTTGTTTGGGTTTACCATATGGCGATGATTTGATGTGTGCAGGAGAGCTGAAAGATGGACAGGAACAGGTTGGATTTAAGATTGCATGATTCTGGATCAACGCAGTCAGACGAATCTGCTTTGGATATGGAAAGAAACTGTTGCAATCATTCTAGTCTTCCTTGGTCAAGTCCATCCTCATTGCAGCCCATTGCATCAGGCGGTCAGCACTCAGAAAATAATGCTGCCTACTTCTCTTGGCCTACCCTTAGTAGATTGAATGACACGGCCGAGGATAGAGCCAACTATTTTGGTAACCTTCAGAAGGGGGTGTTGCCAGAAACTCTTGGCAGGTTACCTTCAGGGCAGCGAGCCACCACTTTACTTGAATTGATGACCATCAGGGCATTTCATAGCAAAATCTTGCGTCGGTTTAGCCTTGGCACGGCAATTGGGTTTAGGATCCAAAGGGGTGTTTTAACTGACATTCCTGCTATTCTTGTCTTTGTTGCCCGGAAAGTACATAGACAATGGCTAAGTCATGTCCAGTGTCTACCTTCTGCCCTTGAGGTTAGATATGGGTCCTTTACATGTACATCGTGACCTCTGCGACACAGGAAGATAGTTTCTGTCTTCATGCTTTTCTCTATTATCCGTATTAATTATGGCTTCTTCGAAATCTTTTTGACATAACTACAGGTCTTTTGGTGGATGAATCTACCCCTTAATTTGCAATATGTTGCTCTGCTGGCATATCCATAAACTAAGTTTCTTTTGTTCTGTACGAGTCAGGGACCAGGAGGTGTTTGGTGTGATGTGGATGTGGTCGAATTCTCATACTTTGGTGCTCCTGCCCCTACGCCTAAGGAACAACTGTATACTGAGCTTGTTGATGGGTTAAGGGGAGGTGATCCATCAATTGGTTCTGGATCCCAGGTATATATACTTGAGTCTTCCAATTCCGAATCTTTGGATATTAAAAGGTTAACGTTAATCAATTGGAATTTTCCGTGTCTTTGTTTCCTTTACTTAGAGTTCAGCTACTGCCAATAAGGTTAACACCTTCCAATTGGCTTTACTGATTGAGGTGCTATTTATTAGTTTATTTGGAACTTCCAGCAATCATGCATGCAGTGTCTTGGTTTCTTTTTGTTGATGCATTGTCTTTGAATCACTAAGAAGTCTAGGCAACTCGTCTTTTTCTGTCTGTATTTCTTCTCTTTTTGTATTCCCCACTTGTGTGTTCGAGAGTTTACTTGTCCGGGAGAGTTTACTTGTCCTTTGGCTGGATAGTAAGCTGAAAGTAGTAACAAAAACGAAAAAAGATCTGGAGAGAAGGGTGTTTTATTTGTAGCAGTGACTGTGCCCGAAGCAGATCTTATATTTGGGACTTCTGACTTGTCCTGGAAATTCTGCAATTGTTTAATATGTTAGGAGTTGCCTTGTCTTTTGTTTCTTATCTTTTTTTCTTTTCAATCAGAAGTGAAGGTTGGATTTGTCATCTAAGCATTTGCAGAATAGAGTGGAGGGATTAAGGTATTGAAACGTTCCATGAGTGAGCAGGTGCTCGGATAACTGATCACCTTGTTCTAATGTCAGGGGAACTTTGCTGCTTTTAGAACTATCTTACTTCCTTTGAAGTCTATCATGGTTTTAGTTGGTGCAGTTGTACTTGAGTTGAGAGCATGAGTGGGTGTTTTGTTGGAAAGTGGGGCAAAGGTGGTTTTGTTGATTCATCTGTTCTTTGTGGATTTGTGTAGATGGAGATTAAGACATTGCTTGTGTTGGAGGGACACTGTTTTCATTTTCTCAAAGAAGGCTAGTATTGGGTGCCTGGATGGCGTCAATTAGGTCTTCCATACATTATTTCTTCCACTCATAAAGGATTTTTTTGAGTCCAGTTATGCTTTTGTAGTAACTGGAAGTTTTTGCCCTTTGGCAAATCATCTTTGGATAAGGATGCGAGGTTTGGATGGTTTGATAGGAACGTTACCTTCTGTTGCTCAAGTGGAGTGGATGGAGGGATAGAGGATGAGGGAGGAGAAGAAGCTTTATCTGATTAGACATCAACCTCTTCAACTTGATCCAGTGCCATTTTCTTTGAATAGTGATGTGACTTTAATGCATGCAATAGCTTGAGTGCCCATTTGTCATGAACCTCTTTGGTAATCATGTCACTTCGTCACACTTTGAGTTGTGCCTAGTTTCCCTCTCATTTGCATTTAAGTATTTTTTGTTTGGTCCTTTGTAATATATTTTGCTACAGCGAAGACATTTGGTAGTTCCATTGAATTTCTAGAACTGGTGATATTCTCCAATTCAAAACTTCCTATTCATCATGTTTGTAGCTGAACATAAGTTAACACCTTCCTACATTTCTTACTGGTCTTAGTGTAATTCCTTCAAAATTTTAGGTGGCTAATCAAGAAACCTACGGAACCTTGGGTGCTATAGTGAAGAGCCGAACAGGAAACAGACAGGTCGGTTTTCTCACAAATCGACATGTTGCAGTTGATTTGGATTATCCAAACCAGAAAATGTTTCATCCTTTACCTCCCAGCCTTGGGCCTGGGGTTTACTTGGGCGCGGTGGAGAGAGCAACCTCTTTCATCACGGATGAGCTATGGTATGGAATATTTGCTGGAACAAACCCAGGTAATGCAGAACTCACCTAGATTATTCTTCATTAATAAGTTATATGGATCAGTTTTGTTACTATATCCTGCAATAGGATTCGTGTCACAGAAATAATGACAATTTGTAATAAATGAAAATCGTTTTAATGAAAATGTAGTGTAATCACTCTTAGTCTGACTATGTATAATCAACTCCCATATCCAAGGTTGGATACTGAAACATCCTGTCAATAGCAAAGGAACGAAAGAACTCAATTCATTAACATGGAAAGTGTAAGATTGAATAAACATAAACGAAGTCTTTAACCGCAGACTAAGTTCGTTTGCTTGTTGGATTTGAAAATGAAGGTGTTGGGTTTTGAAAACCTTTGGATTTATGATGGATTTGGAAGAGTACATTGTTTGCTTAGTTAATTTTTTATCATGGATTTATGATGAATTTGTCTCACAACTTTGCCTTCCATTATCAAATCCCAAATGAAAATTTGGGATTTGCAAATCCGTGGTGTCCACGGATTTGAATCTAAAAAAAAAAATGGTATAAATCTGTGGACCCCACGGATTTGTGTCCCTGAAGTTATTCACTACCCTTTAACTTATTCTCAGTCTTCTTGACTATTCATTCTATCATGGTATCTGCAGAAACATTTGTGCGGGCGGATGGTGCCTTCATTCCTTTTGCAGAAGATTTCAACATGAACAATGTCACTACATTGGTCAAAGATGTGGGAGAGATTGGTGATGTACATGTAATAGACTTGCAATCTCCGATCAGCAGTCTCATTGGCAGGCAAGTGGTGAAAGTAGGAAGAAGCTCTGGATTGACAACTGGTACAATAATGGCCTATGCTCTGGAGTACAATGATGAGAAAGGGATTTGCTTCTTTACTGATTTCCTTGTCGTCGGGGAGAATGAGCAGCAACCATTTGATCTTGAAGGGGATAGTGGTAGCCTCATTCTCTTAACTGGCGAGAAGCCACGACCAGTTGGAATAATTTGGGGTGGGACTGCTAACCGAGGCAGGTTGAAGTTAAAAGTGGGCCAACCACCAGAGAATTGGACTAGTGGGGTTGATCTTGGCCGCCTACTTGATCTCCTTGAACTTGACCTCATCACAACGGCAGAAGGACTTCAAGGTTTGTACTTTCCCTCCGAATCTTGGAGAAAATGGACAGAGAAATAATCTACATCTTGTTTCCTCCTCCAAATGTTACATTACTCATTGGTACTATCATCTAATATAACTTTTCCTTTCTTTCTCTGATAAATACAGCTGCAGTGCGAGATCAAAGAAACGCATCAGCGACAGCAATCGATTCTACTGTTGGAGAGTCTTCACCTCTTACTGTACGAGTTCCATCATCGACCAAAAAAATGGAAGAGTGCTTTGAGCCCTTTAATTTGAACGATATTAGTCAAGTTGAATACGAATTGCACGAGACACCAACACCTCCTTCTATCCGGCACGAGTTCCACATAGATGATGGTGCAGAAGTCACTCCCAGTGTAGAACACCAGTTCATTCCAAGCAGCTTCACAGTGGGTTCTCTGGCCCACGTTGACAACAAGCAGCAGAAGCAACCGAAAGAGGACCACGGACTGAAGAAGGACCTTTCAGCATTATTGCAGAATGGAGCCGGTGAAGAGATGTCTGTGTCATTGCAGTTGGGTGAGCCTGAGCCAAAGAAGAGAAGAAAGCAGCCTGGATCATCTCTCAGCATTAAAGAAGAATCAAAATGAAGCCGCAAGAAAGTGAATATCCAGGTCATGAATGCCAGTTCGTCAATATAGTTCGCTTATGCTTGGCTTCGGAGAGGTTGGAAGTTGTAATTATCATGTGGAGTCAGAAGTTGCAGAGACGATCTTTAAAGAGTACTAATCCGGGCTTCTTTTTGTTTTTCTCTTTTAATTCCAGGTCTTGTTTTTAAGGTTATGAGATTTTTAGTCTAAAATGAACTATGTGGGCAGGAAGAATGTTGAGGGGCAGGCTGGCCCTTCATTGAAAGTGCCCTTTGATGTTGTATCTCTTACAAGGAGAAATCGTTAATGTATAATAAAGCACTCCAAGAAAGATAGGAGTTGCAAAATGCAAGACTAGTTAAGCTAAGCCACAGTATATATATTACACCTTGAATGGAATAGGGATTGCTTGTTATATGAAGGAAAGAAATCTTGGAACTGGGGGAATGGAATGCATGTTCTGCCATCAGACTAATGAGGGTAGAGAATATTTGCAGTCTGTTCTTTGTATCGATATCTAGTTGCAGCTTTGTTGAAGAACTGTAATCATAATCCAAGTAGCCACTGAGAATGAGAAATCAATTGAGCAATAAGAACATTCAAAGGCTTGCTCAGATTGGAACTTGGAAGGCTTTATTAGGATTTCTATGGTCAGTTGGATTTGGCGAGACAGATGTACCTCAATGAATGCAGGGTCTTGTCGCGACTCTGCTGCACTTATTGGACATATACACTATACAGGAGGTTAATTGCATGGTTGGTCACTGAGATTACAAAAAACGTTCAAATTTGATCACTCGAAATATTTAAATCCATTGGTGGTACTTAAGTTTACTGAAACAGTTCACGTTTGGTCACTCTCCGTCCAACTCCGTTAACTTTGACTGATGTGGCAGTCAAATCTCAAAATTGACCGTTAACTTAGTGACGTGGCAACTAAAAAATTATTAAAAATAAAAATATAAAATTTTATATTTTCCACCTCATTATTACATTCATTAAAAAAACTTTTATTTTCTACAGTGACCAAATTAAATGGTTTAGTTGCAGTCAACTCTCAAAATTGACCGTTAACTTAGTGACCAAATTTGAACGTTTTTTGTAATCTCAGTGACCAAATTTGAAGGTTTAGTTGGAGAAGACAAGTTTGCTCAGTTCTGGGAATAGAATGACAATGTAATCTGATTGCTTCTCTTGGCTCTAGTTTGATGTAGTTGTGAGTTTTTATTGTTCTGTTATTTTGCTTGGCAGATTAGTATAGTGATTATTGATAGTGATTTCAGTGAACCTCTTGGTTAAATTCCACCATGTGAACTCCTATGTATTTTTATCGGTCAAACCCGTGACATGCGGGCGGGTACAATAGGATTCAATCGGAATTGGCTATAAAATTGGATGGAATGTCCCTGGTACGACCGACATGACCAGTTTTCGAGCTCTAAAACTTAATGACCCCATTTTGAAGAATTTAATTAATAATATTTTTAGAAAGTTAAATGTTGATGTTATTTGTTGAATTCAAGTACGAATATGTAGGAAGTTAAATTTTGTTGGTATTTATAGGATTAAGTATGAACATTTAGATATTTATGTTATTTTTTGGATTTAAGTAGAAATGTTTGACTGTTAGTGTTAAATATTGTACTTAAATATGATTTTTTCATTTTGTCTTGTAATGTTCATAGATATGTGATTCATTGGTTGGTTTAGTCATATAAACATATAAACCGCTTAATTGTGTCATAATGACAAGACGTGCACGAGTACGAACTCTTAGTACCAAGTCAAATTGTACTATAAGATGGATTTGCGCTCCAAATATCTTATAATCTTCATGGATATGTGATTCATTGGTTGGTTTAGTCATATAAACAATAAACCGCTTAATTGTGTCATAACGACAAAACGTACACGAGTACGAACTCTTAGTACCAAGTCCAAATTGTACAATAAGGTAGATTCGCACTCCAAATGTCTTGTAATGTTGATAGACATGTGATTCATTGATTGTTTTAGTCATATAAACACATAAACCGCTTCATTGTGTAATAATGACAACACATGCACGAGTACGAACTCTTAGTACCGAGTCCAATTGTACAATAAGGTGGATTTGCGCTCCAAATGTCTGGTAATGTTAATATATAAGTGATTCATTGGTAGGTTTAGTCACAGAAACACATAAACCGCTTAATTATGTCATAACGACAAGATGTGCACGAGTACGAACTCTTAGTACCGAGTCCAAATTGTACATTAAGGTGGATTTGCGCACCAAATATCTTAGTAATGTTCATGTATATGTGATTCATTGGATGATTTAGTCATATAAACACATAAACCGCTTAATTGTGTCATAATGACAAAACATGCCCAAGTACGAACTCTTAGTACCTTGTCCAAATTGTACAATAAGTTGGATTTGCACTCCCAATCAACTGAAGGGGGGTATAGACCAGTAGCTAGGGCTCTTTTCCCCTTTATGTCTTGTAATGTTGATAGATATGCGATTCATTGATTGGTTTAGTCATATAAACCGCTTAATTGTGTCATAATGACAAGACGTGCAAGAGTACGTACTTTTAGTACCGAGTCCAAAACATAAAATAAGGTGGATTTGTTCTGCAAATGTCATGTAATGTTGATGGACATGTGATTCAATGATTAGTTTAGTCATATAAACACATAAACCACTTAATTGTGTCATAATGACAACAAGTGCATGAGTACGAACTCTTAGTACCGAGTCCAAATTATACAATAAGGTGGATTTGCGATCCAAATATCTTGTAATGTTCATGGATATGTGATTCATTGGTTGGTTTAGTCATATAAACACATAAACCATTTAATTGTGTCATAATGACAAAACCTACACGAGTACAAACTCTTAGTATCGAGTCCAAATTGTATGATAAGGTGGATTTGCACTCCAAATGTCTTGGTAGTGTTGATAAAAATGTGATTAATTGATTGCTTTAGACATATAAACACATAAACCGCTTAATTGTGTCATATTGACAAGACGTGCATGCGTACGAACTCTTAGTACCGAGTCCAAATTGTACAATAAGGTGGATTCGCACTCCAAATGTCTTGTAATGTTGATAGACACATGATTCATTGATTGTTTTAGTCATATAAACACATAAAACGCTTAATTGTGTAATAATGACAAACCATGCACGAGTACGAACTCTTAGTACCGAGTCCAATTGTACAATAAGGTGGATTTGCGCTCTAAATGTCTTGTAATGTTCACGGATATGTGATTCATTGGTTGGTTTAGTCATATAAACACATAAACCACTTAATTGTGTCATAATGACAAAACGTACACGGGTACGAACTCTTAGAATCGAGTCTTAATCGTACAATAAGTTGGATTCGTACTCCAAATGTCTTGTAAAGTTAATAGACATGTGATTTATTGATAGTTTAGTCATATAAACACATAAACCACTTAATTGTGTCATAATGACAAAATGAACATGATAACAAACTCTTAGTACCGAGTCCAAATTGTACAATTTGATGGATTCATACTCCAAATTTCTTGTAAAGTTGATAGACATGTGATCATTGATTGGTTTAGTCATATAAACACACAAACCGCTTAATTGTGTAATAATATCAACACATGCACGAGTAAGAACTCTTAATACCGAGTCCAAATTGTACAATAAGGTGGACTTTTACTCTAAATGTCTTATAATGTTCTTGTATATGTGATTCATTGGTTGGTTTAGTCATATAAAGACATCAACCGCTTAAATGTATCATAATAACAAAACATGCGCAAGTCCGAACTCATAGTACCTAGTCTAAATTGTACAATAAGGTGGATTTGCACTCCCAATGTCTTGTAATGTTGATAGACATGTGATTTATTGATTGGTTTAGTCATATAAACACATAAATTACCTAATTGTGTCATAATGACAAGATGTGCAAGAGTAAGTACTCTTAGTACCGAGTACAAAACATTAAATAAGGTGGATTTGTTTTCCAAATGTCATGTAATGTTGATGGACATGTGAGTCAATGATTAGTTTAGTAATATAAACACATAAACCGCTTAATTGTGTCATAATGTCAACAAGTGCATGAGTACAAACTCTTAGTACCGTGTCCAAATTTTACAATAGGGTGGATTTGCGCTCCAAATATCTTGTAATGTTCATGGATCTGTAAATTATTGGCTGGTTTAGTCATATAAACACATAAAGCGCTTAATTGTGTCATAATGACAAAACGTACACGAGTAAGAATTATTAGTACCGACTTCAAACTGTAAAATAAGGTGGATTTGCGTTCCTTATGTCTTGTAATGTTCCTGTATATGTGATTCATTGGTTTGTTTAGTCATATAAACATATAAACCGCTTAATTGTGTCATAATGACAAGACGTGCAAGAGTACGTACTCTTAGTACCGAGTCCAAAACATAAAATAAGGTGGATTTATTCTTCAAATGTCTTGTAGTAACGATAGACATGTGATTCAATGATTGTTTTAGTCATATAAACACATAAACCGCTTAATTATGTCATAATGACAACAAGTGCACGAGTACGAACACTTAGTACTGAGTCCAAATTGTTCAATAAGGTGGATTTGCGTTCCAAATATCTTGTAATGTTTATGGATATGTGATTCATTGGTCGGTTTAGCCATAAAATCACCTAAACCGCTTAATTGTGTCATAATGACAAAACGTATACGAGTACGAACTCTTAGTACCGAGTCCAAATTGTACAATAAGGTGGATTTCCGCTCCAAATATCTTGTAATTTTCATGGATATGTGATTCATTGGTTGGTTTAGTCATATAAACATATAAACCGCTTAATTGTGTCATAATGACAAAACATACACGAGTACGAACTCTTAGAACCGAGTCTTAATCGTACAATAAGTTGGATTCGTACTCCAAATGTCTTGTAAAGTTAATAGACATGTGATTTATTGATTGTTTTAGTCATATAAACACATAAACCACTTAATTTTGTTATAATGACAAAACGAACATGAGAACAAATTCTTAGTACCAAGTCCAAATTGTACAATATGGTGGATTCGTATTCCAAATGTCTTGTAAAGTTGATAGACATGTGATCATTGATTGGTTTAGTCATATAAACAGACAAACCGCTTAATTGTGTAATAATATAACCACATGCACGAGTAAGAACTCTTAGTACCGAGTCCAAATTGTACAATAAGGTGGATTTTTGCTCTAAATGTCTTATAATGTTCTTCTATATGTGATTCATTGGTTGGTTTAGTCATATAAAAACATCAACCGCTTAAATGTGTCATAAAAACAAAACATGCGCAAGTACGAACTCATAGTACCTAGTCTTTATGTACAATAAGGTGGATTTGCACTCCCAATGTCATGTAATGTTGATGGACATGTGATTCAATGATTAGTTTAGTCGTATAAACACATAAACCGCTTAATTGATTAATAATGACAACAAGTGCACGAGTACGAACACTTAGCACTGAGTCCAAATTGTACAATAAGGTGGATTTGCGCTTCAAATATGTTGTAATGTTCATGGATATGT